TCCGTTTGCGTTTACATCCATGGGGGCGAAAATTGACCGGTCTGTTAATGATGGCGGAGGTCCAAATTTGTTTAAAATAAATGGGCAGGTTTGTCATCGTATAGGCTCATTGCTTCCCAATGAAGGTGATACACCCAAGTATGTAGAGTTATATATACATGATAGAGAAAATGAGGTTAATAACAGAATTCAAGCTTTAAATCACCATGATGAAAAAGGCGCCGGGTTAGATAAGGACACTGTGAGGGGTCTTATGCAAATGCTTGATACAAATAATTCTTTAGTCAAAAAGTTTCATATGGCTGCGGAGATATTAGAACAAAATAAACATGAGGTGATTTCAATAAGGCTTATAGCTCCTGGCGAGAATGATAGCCCTCAGTTTAGTTTACCGGCGACAGATGAGCTGGCGGCTTTGTTTTATGGTGAGTTCACGTTAGAGGCACCATGTCGAGATCTGATCATACGGACTAAAGGCGACAGGCTGCACCGTATTTCTTCTTTGGATACCACCTACATGTCCTTGCAATACCCTTTGCTATTTCCATATGGCGAGCATGGTTTTCAGCTCGGTGTGCACTACATGGGTGCTGATGTTGATGACACGAACAAGAGGGTAAAAATGACCATGCAAGATTATTACTGCTTTTGTTCACATTATAAACCAAAGCAGCACAATCCATGTCTTTTTTGTGGCCTGTTGTCATCACAAGCTGCTGTTGACTTCCGTGCTTGCATTGATGAGTGTCGTCTCAATTTTATTCTTAAGTGTAACGATGAAATGCGGGCTAAAAATCTTCAGGGGGTTGTTGACGTAGTAGACCAGGGTATGATTGATGGGTCAGAGGTTGGAAAGAAAAATATTCTTCCATCAACATACACTGGCGATCATCGGTATATGTATGAAAATTTCCAAGATGTTGTTGCTATCTCCCGGGTTCATGGGTCGCCGGACGTTTTTACAACTTTCACATGTAACCCAAAGTGGGAGGAAATCCTTCATTCCGTTGAGCCTGGGCAAACAGCAACAGATAGGGCTGACATTGCTATTAGGGTGTACCACATGAAACTTATGCAGTACCTTCATCAGATCAAAAAAGGGAATGCCTTTGGTCCTATTGTTGCTGGTACTGTCCCTTGTAAGCCTATTTAATTTTGGTCTTTCTCTTTCTACGTTGTTCTTATGTCTTTTATGTCGCATTTCTCTCCTATTTTCAGTCTTGCACACTATTGAATTTCAGAAGAGGGGATTACCACACACACACATCCTTGTTTGGCAAAAGAAGGATGATGATAGATTTGTCACACCGGCTATGACAGATTCTTATATTTCAGCTGAAATACCTGATCCTGTACAGGATCCTTTAGGATATGCGCTTGTCGCTGAGTTCATGATGCATGGGCCCTGTGGCATTGATGGCCCAAAGTGTCCTTGCATGAAAAAGGGTGTTTGCTCAAAAAAAATTCCAAAATCGTTTCAGAATGAAACTTCTATTGATGAGAGTGGGTTTCCCTTATATAGGCGCCCTGACAATGGTCGTTTTGCCATGAAGAATAATGTCAGGCTTGATAATAGACATGTGGTTCCTTATAACATGCTAATATTGAAAAAGTGGCAGACGCATATTAATGTTGAATGGTGTAACAAAACTTATGCTATCAAATACCTATACAAGTACGTCACTAAAAGGACCAGACAAGTATAAAACCCTATTTGAGAATGTTAGGAATGGTAGCAGCCAGGATGTTGATGAGATCAAAGAGTATAGGGAGTGTCGTTATATTGTTGACTATGATTCTTTTTGGAGGGTCTATGGGTTTGACATACATAGTAAAACGCCCTCTATTGAGAGATTGCCTATTCATCTCCTAAACATGCATGTCGTGTGATTTCACATTAAAGCCACACTGAACTCAGTTGTTAATAATGCCTGGATGCAAAAAACAATGTTGACAGAATGGTTTGTAGCAAACAGGCTATACCCTGCTGCTAGAACCTTAACTTATTGTGATTTCCCTACTAGATGGTCGTGGATAGCTGAGGACAAAAAGTGGAAACGTAGGACACGAAGTGATAGAATTGGTAGAATATACTCTGTCCATCCAGCAAGTGGAGAACTTTTTTATTTTAGAATGTTGCTTATGATTGTCAAAGGTGCAAAATGCTATGAGGATGTTAGGACCTACAATGGCATCCTATACTCAACCTTTAGAGAGGCATGTGGGGCAAGGGGTTTGCTTGGTGATGATATAGAATGGTACAATGATTTTGATGAAGCTATCAAATGGGGTATGGGGAATCAATTGCGCCAGCTCTTTGTTACTATGATACTTCACTGTGCTGTTAATGATGAGGGTGCTTTCTTTGAGAAGTATGAAGCTTACCTAGGTGATGATATTGAACATAGGATTAGGCAGTCTAGAAATGATTTTACGCATGTCATACCTCCTGTAGCATTGAGGGACATGGTCCTTGATGAATTAGCTGCTGTATTTTCTAAGAACAGTGCATGCATCCTAGATCATCGATTGCCTTTGAAATTTGCATGCCATGATGCCGCAGTGCAAACTGATATGCTTTCGGATGCACTAGATGTTGATGTTGTTAGTCTTCTTAAAAAGGCGAAGTTGCTGTATGCCAAGTTAAACAAAGACCGACTCTATGCTTACTCTGCTATAGTTGACCGCATTAGATCCGGAAAGCCTGGTTTTTTCTTTGTCTCTGGTTATGGTGGTACTGGAAAAACGTTTCTCTGGAATGCGCTCGATGCTTATCTTAGAGGTAACGAGAGGGTGGTTCTGTCGGTTGCTTCCTCGGGGGTTGCGGCCTTGCTTTTACTAGCTGGCAGAACAGCGCATTCTAGGTTTAAAATACCTGTTGACTTACCTAATCATGGCACCTGTGAAATTAAATGGTCTACCATGCTCTTTGCCCTAATAGAATCAGCTGATCTTATCATATGGGCCGAAGCATTGATGTCCCATCGGAAATGCTTTGAGGCCCTGGACAGATCATTTCGTGATATCCTGTCTGCCAATGATCCTTATTTAGCTAACGTTCCATTCGGCGGTAAGGTTGTTGTGTTGGGTGGGGACCTTAGACAAATATTGCCTGTCATTGAGGGCGGGTCTCGAGCGCAGATTCTTGCTGCTGCTATCACTAACTCCCCTCTGTGGAATATTGTAGATGTTTTGCACCTAAACATTAACATGCACTTGACTGCACACACAAATGATCCAATCCTCCAGTCTGAGGTTGCTGCCTTTGCTGAGTGGATCCTCACTTTAGGTGATGGCACAACACCTGCTATGGCTTGTGAGGGGGAATCTGAACCCTCTTGGATAACTATCCCTGATGAGCTCTTAATACACACCGACGGTGACAAAATTGATGCCATTGTTCAGGCCATATATAAAGATATCCCTGCAAGGTATTCTGATGTTAGTTATCTAAAAGAAAGGGCAATACTAACACCGACAAATGAGGTCGCGGAGAAAATAAACGAGCATGTCTTGTCTTTAGTGCCTACTGATGAGAGGGAGTACCTTAGCTGTGATACTATAGGGAATGGAAAATGCTTCCTTCCAACCGACTGATCTCTCGCTCGCGTAAATCTCCTTGTGCACCGTCCGATCGCGAGAGATCCGATGGACCTGGTGTAGCACACGACGCGAGCTGACAAGGACGCGTCTATCGGGTCGGGTTGTCTCACCCGCACCCCTTCCCCCACCCTACCCACATTGCAACATTTTCCCCTTTTCTGTTCGTTCATCTCCCCCAAGCTCGCTCCAAACCTCCGATGCGATGGTCGTCGCGGCGTCTAGCTCCCGGGGCGGCGAAGCTGACGTGAGGTCGACGAGGGGAGGCGCGCGAGGAGGTCCATGAGGAGGCGGCTGAAGACATGGACATGGACAATCTGCAGGACAGGTACCTCCGATTCTTCTCCAAAATAATCCGGAAATGGCCGCAGTAGAAATTCGTAGTAGAAATCATGTAGGTTCGACGTCCCAGACGATCTATTTTAGGGGAGGCGGATCGCTGGCTCGCCGGAGTTTTAGGGGCGGGCTCGCCGGTAGACATCTATTTTTGGGAGAGGCGCGGTGGTCTTTGTTCTGGATCTGGAGCAGGAGTTTTGCCAGAGCCCATACACTCTCTCCAGGATCTCGCGCTCGCAACTGCATCTGTTTCAAGCTTGTTGCAATCTTCCATGTTTTTGCACTGCACCTTGCTGAAGGTCATCAGTGATGGCATGTGTGTGTGTGCTGTTGCTTTTTTGACAGGTTTCGGTGGTGCTCATGACTACTACTACAATGTCGTTGACTGCATGTGGATTTATGTAGATGGTTGCTGCTGTTTTTATGTGTGTAGCAGGTCTGATGATGCAGAGATATGATTAGGGAGGCGTTTTTTGCATTTGCAGTACTTGTGAGTTGTAGATTTTAGTGTAGTTTTGTCTGTTGTTGTGTTTGTTCAGGAGGCAGTTGTGTTGCATTGCAGTACATGTTACCCCAGGATTTTACGCATATTGCATGGAAATTGCAGAAGTACTTGTTTGTGTTTGTTTTTATTTGATATATGTTAGTGATAGCTATATAAGTTTTCCCTTTCAGAAGTTAGTGAAGATGCTACATTGCATTTTTTATGTGGCCTCCTAAAATGAATGACCAACCAACATTTTCATGCAATGACCAAGTATATTTCAGATTTTTTTCACGAGTTTCAGATTTTCATGCATTCCTTCTCTATAGCTTTTAGTGTTGTTAATGGGTGTTCTGAACATTTTTCCTTTTTGTTCTTTTTTTGCAGTGATCCAAAAATGGATGATGATGAATCTTCCGATGGGTCGTTTTCAACGCGCTTTTCAGCTAGCCATTTGTGTGAGGTTGCAGACAAGGAGCCGAATGATAACAAGAGGGCAGTGCTAGAAAAGTCGAGTTTTGGTTCGTTGTTGAAGATCAGACCATTTTCTGTACCTCTTGAGCTGATTGACTAGGTAGTTATGAGAATTGACACTAAGCATTCTTTGTTCAGGTACCTTCAAATCACCCTCTGGCCCATTTCATTTTGTGTGTGTCTCTATTGCAATGTTCTTTATTTGGAATTGCATAGCAATGTTCTTCATCCTCAAATTTGACATGTGCCTTTTTGTCAGCCATAAAAAGAAGACTATATTGTTCACTAGAGACATGGTGCACAAAATTTTTAATGTCCCATTCGGATCAAGGGCAGTGAAGCTACTGAAGAGGAACGAACATTGTGAGCTACGCGACATATATCGAGAAGGCACAAGGGCTCCAATGAAGAAATCCATTTCTGTAATCAAGAAAGCATCGGATAATGATGTTGTTACTTTAGAGAGGACTTGGGTTCTTTTATGCCTTGCTCTCATGCTAGTTCCTGACACCGGCAACATGGTCTCGTTGGACTACCTTGCTAGCTTGAAGGACTTGGATGAACTGAATGAGTTTGCATGGGACAAGCATGTGTTGGCAACTGCGTTGAGGGAGGCGAGGAATTACCAACTAAAGAGGGAGGCTGGGGCAAGTGGCTTCTGGATAGGCGGTTGTCTACCTATGTTCGTGGTATGCCAAACACAAATCATTTTGTCTATGTTTTCATTGGTTCATATTTTTGCTTTACTTTATTTTATTTTATTCTGCTCGCAACAATCATATGTACGATACAACCTTCCGACTTGTTTTATTTTTCAAAAAATATATGTAGTTAATTTACAAGGATTTCCTGGATGTGCCTCGGTTATTGATTAGTGAGGATACGTTCAACTACTCGCTGCCCAGGGCTTGCTTTGTGTGCAATGCAGATTTTGAGCTTGTTAAAGATTTTGACAGGAACAAGCTCACCCTCGAGAAGGTTGATTTTGGAAAGCGCAATGTAAGAGCAGACCCAATCTTCCTTTTTTAAAAGATTTCTTTCGGTGATAAACATCTTACTTTCTTCTTTTGGTGATTGTTGTATGCAGCATCGTCCTTTGTCTCAAACGCCATATGCAATATTGAAGGCGGACAAGCAATGTGAGGGTCAGAATCAACATCATCCGGCAAATATCACTAATAGAGCTGACAAAGCCAACACTCAAGTCAGTGTTGAGGGTGATTTAGGCGCTAAGTTTCGCGTCTCTCTGGATGAGTGGCTGCAGCCGCTCCCTTCCTGCCAAGAGTTAGAGGTAGAAATGCACTACCTTGTTAAAACCAATTAATTTAAGTGCATGATTTTGCTTCTTTGTGTTCTTTTGATCTTCTTTTCATATTTATTAATGCTTACCCCCATTTGTTTGTTTCTTATTTTTTTTTCTATGCCAGATACCTTTGCACTTGAAGCCTATACATGAGAAGCACAAAAATCTCTATACGGCAGAGTTGAAGAATGTTGTTACCTCTTTTGGGCAGGTCCTGCAGTCAACTTTCTGCAAGCGGTTGGGTCTCATGTTGATGGAAGCGCACTCCAATGCAGTGTCAAACCATGAGCACATGAGTGAAGGTTTTGTCGCCCCAAGAGTCATTGCAACAAGCAGTGTCGAGCGCACGGGAGCGGTGACTTTTAGCACCCCAACAGCCACTGCAGTAGGCATTGCTATCCACTCTTCCAAGTGTCCATTATTGGATCCTGATTCCCGGGCAGAAGCAGGTGCTGATGATCAGAACAAGGCACAACCTGGTGGTGTAGTTGCTGCTCCCAAAGTAGTGGAGACCGGTGCATTAGGTGAGAAGGTTGGGGTGGAAGCGGAACAGGGGGTGGGTCAAAGCACAAGCGTTGCTAAGCGTTCCAGGGGTGCTGCATTGCAACAAGGTGAGAGTAGCAATCATTCTCATGGGAAGGATTGTGTGGAGCAGGAGGAAGTTATACATCAGGGCGGAAAGGTGACCCCCAAAGATGCTTGCAACATGGATCCTTCGGGAGCTTCTGATAAGGTTGAAACACCAGTTCTTTCCCAGGGCACGGTGCAGGCAATGATGGTAACTGCCCTGGAGTGGGAAGATGGCCCATCTTGTGCTCTTTTCATGGAGGGGACCGAATACTATGAGTGGATGAATCAAAAAGTAGACATACCAGTCAAGCATGTGCAGACACCAAATGCTTCTAGCTCTGATGTGCAAAATTCAATCCCATTAGTGCCAAACTTTGACAACACTCCTCAAGTTGAAAGGCCTAGCAACCTCCCAATCGCAACATTTGACACAGCTCCAAAGCTCCCTAGGGCAAACGACATTCCGGGGCCTGTGTTTGATGTGTCCCCCATCTCATTTAAAAACGCTTCCTCTGATGGACCTCAAGGTTTTTTCTTGCTTCAGAACACAAGCTCCTTTTATCTAAGAGTTTTCTCAGTGCGTTTCCTTTTTGCATTCTCATTTTTCTCTCTGTTTTTGTGTTGTTGCAATGTTGTGCAATAGTAGTGGATTTGCACGAGACAATCGAGGCGAATGTTACGGTCAGGGGTGAGTCAAATAGTCTTGGTAAACAGTCAAAGAAGAAAAGGGTGGCTCTCTCCCCAGACAATCTGCCAACGATGAATAAGATTAATGTTGATGCACACGGTGATGCCTTACACCATCAGTATGTAATGACCAGATACAAGACAAGAAAACCAAAGAAAAATGAGCTTCTGTGAGTCATATGATGATGCTTTTCTATTACTCATTTTTGTCTGAAATCTTTTTTTTGTGTTTCCATAGATGAAAGAGTTTGATATGTGAGCATATCTCTTGCTGTTTTTATCTAAAATCAACACAAATTTTCTTTTACAGGCCCGACTTCATTGAAATAGATGGCTTCCATACATCTCTCAAGAATTTTCATGCATCTCTAAAGCCAAGAGCGGAGATTGACAATGAGGTCATGACCTTATACCTAAAGACATTCAACTATGACCAGTCAGTGAAGAAGAAGCCAAAAAATTTTGTTTTCTCAGTGTTGATGAGTGTTAGTGTCCAAATCTCTTTTTTCTATCTGTTGTTTCAATGCTTTTTTGATTTATCATATAGTTGTGGTCTGCCCTCTAATATTTTTTTGTTTTGTGATTTTCTCCATCAGTTGAAACTCAGTGCTGAGCCAGATGTGTTTGATTCGAAGGTGTGCAAAAAAGAATTTAAGAATGCTTGCTTACAAAATCATATTTCAAAATCTGACCTGTAAGTTCTTATCTTGTTCCATCTTGCATTCTTTTTCTATTTTTTTACATTTTTTTTCTAAATTTATTTTCTGGTTCTGCTTTGTTTTGATGCATTGCAGCTATTCTTCATGGTTGTACACAAAAAGCACTGGGCAGTAGTAGTTGTTAACATCACCCAAAAGGAGTTCAATATCTTTGGCTCCATCAGGAACTCAGAAGACCTTTTTGAGATGGTCAGGATCACTAAGAATGTGGTAATGCTCCTGTTGGAGTTTGGCGCAACAAATCTTTTCCTTCTTTTTTGCTTTTCCACACCGCACACTTATGCATTTTGTTTGTCCATGTTTTATCGGGTTTGATCAGGTCACAAACATCAAGAGTGCTGCAATGAGGGAGCCACTTTTTAAGCACAATCTCGAGTCTTACTCGCTATTCACCCCACTTGATTACCCTCAACAAAAAACTCAATAAGCATTTCTATCCCAGCAGAATATGTGTTTATTTTGCATTTAGAGACATTTTTCTCTTTTTTCACCTAAAGCTGCTTTTGCATTTTATAACTATATACCTTCTATTTTTTCAGCTATAACTGTGACTACTATAGTATTTTATACGTGGAGAATTGGGATGGCCTTGTTATGCTGTCATTTGGCGAGGTATTTTCTTTAGATAGAAAACCATATTTTTTGTGTAATTCTTCTCAACTTGATTGGGATCTATTTCATGACTAAATTTTTACTTGTTTCCTGTCTTATTGCTTCCTAGGATTACATCCCAAACCTTTGGAAACGCATTGCGGCAGATCTATTGAGACACCCAAGCAACAAGTTGGACCCCGCGCATCAGCTGAAGCTGCTTCTTCAGCGTTAGATGGGGGTTTTCGAGCTTCTGCAACAGGAGGAGTCATGGCGGTGGTGGCCTAGTACTGCTGACGCGAGTTTTTGTAGCTAGCTTGAGTGTAGTTGGGAGCATGTTCTTGTAGCCAGCTCGAGTGTAGTTGAGAGCTTGTTCTTCTAGCCAGCTCGACTGAACTTTTTTCACAATGCAACTCTGAATGAAGTTCACAGGAATGTTTCAGTGTGTGACTGTATGCAAGGATTTGTTTTTTGTGAAGCCTATTCAAGATTGTTTGTCAGCTTATGCAAGGATTATTTGTTTTTTACTTTCCTTTTCAAGAAGATTGTTGATATACTTTGACCGTACGTGGCTTGAGATCTTTTTTCTCACAAGTAGTTACAGTGTATTTGCTAGTATCTCTATTAATCATATATATATACACATCTTTTTTTATATGGATTTAGTAATTACAGTGAAGTTCAACATCATCAATGAAAGTCAATACACTATACTCACACATGTAATCGTGTGCGAAGTTGAATAATCGCAATAATAGGGTGGGGTTGGGGCGATTGTCGGGCTGTTGTTTCTCTTCATCTTCATAACTTTTCAATCTCACTAAAACAAAAGGAAATGTAATGCAACATCCTTTCTATGTGGCAATGGGCATGTCAAAAAAATTTGCTACAGTTTCTCCAATACGTTTTTTATGGAAAAGCTTTTAAAACAGGATGCTTCAATGTACTTGTATGTTTAAGTAGCCAGCAACAACATCATGCATTGTTGTCCCAAGGAAACCTTTCAAAATAAAAGCTACAATGGTGGAAGTACAATGAGCCAGCAACAATATCATAAGCAACAGGGGGAATTGTAATTTCAGAAAAAGAAGAACATTATATGAGGCACAACTCAATGCATGATGAAATAACTACTTTTTGTCCTCTAATGTAAATTGCACCATTCTCTTTGTCAAGAAACTAATCTATGTAACCAATATTACAAATGTGTAGTAGCAAGAGAGTTTTCTTTTTCTTTTTCTGGTCGAAGTTGATCACAGCCTAAGCTCTGTTGCTCTAGCCATGTTAGCATCTGTCTTCATTGCAGCTTTTAGGTAGGGACATTCTTGCACAGCATGACCTTGCTCTTCACAGTAGGGACATTTTTTGACCCCCATTGCAGCCTTCAAGTATTGTCATGTTTGGACACCGTGACCTTCTTCGTTGCAGTACGAGCAAGGAGGTGCTTTCTTCTTACCAGGTTTTCCTCTGGGCTTGGTTTGCTTCTTTTCATCTTTCTTAGCTTTATTCTTATGTGCATCTTCCCGTTGCTCAAGCAGAGTCTTTCTCCTCTTTGATTTTTCAGTCGGACGCCCTTTTTTTGGAACACGTGCGGGGTTCTGAAGCATGGCATCGCCATCAGGTTGCGGCACAGTGGTTGGCTCGGGGTTTGTTGTTGCTGATGCGTTGCTTGCTGCTGATTTGCTTCCTGTTGTTCTTGGAGCGCCCCTTGCTTCGCTGCAGCTATGAGGGGCTCAAGTTGGTGAGCTGCATCATTCATTATTTTGTAGGCAAGATCGTTGCTGCAAGCTTGTGAAGCCAACCATGTATACTTTCTGCACAAGGCGTTGTACTTGAGAGTGTTGGTTGCAGGGTGCCCAAAATCTAGGAGACATCCACCACTGCTCATTGCCGTTGTCGCAATTTCTGACCACCTCTCTAGCATGTATCTTTGTGGAATTTTTTGGACATTGAGATGCACCATTACCCTTATGATGTGTGCACAAATAATCCCATTCATCTCAAAACAGTTGCAGCTGCATTCAAACTTCTCCTCTGCCAACACAACATCTCCTCTGCCCAAAATCTAGGAGACATCCACCACTGCTCATTGCCGTTATCGCAACTTATGACCACCTCTCTAGCATGTATCTTTGTGGAATTTTTTGGACATTGAGATGCACCATTACCCTTATGATGTGTGCTCAAATAATCCCATTCATCTCAAAACAGTTGCAGCTGCATTCAAACTTCTCCTGTGCCAACACAACATTCACTGAAAATATTCGGGGGTTCTCAAAGTAATTTGGGTGCAACTCAAACCTCACGCTTGCATTGTCAAGAGCAGGGGCCATGTTCATGATGGAGCCTGTTGATGCCATGACCTCTTTTTGAAACTTGAGAAACACGCTTCGGGTATAGAAGTGAACTGCTTGGCGCTCAAAGTTGTACCTGAATGTTGCAATGAAAAGGTCAATGATTTTGAGTTTTTCAAGTTCCCTGTTCTAACTTTTTCTCTCTACAAAGCACACACATACCTTGAGTAAAGTGGTGCAGTTGTTGCGTGGCCTATGAAAGCTTGATTGTCTTCATGGTCCAACATTGTTTCTTGAAGCACCTCATATTGTTGTACAAATCTCCAGACAGAGTCTTGAGGATTGACAAATGTCTTGAAGTAGGAGTTGAGACCCTCAGATCGCCCTGTAGTGCTTGTAAATGGGAAGAAGTTCTTTCAGAAGTATGCTGGAGCCCAGGTCTCTCGCGTACACCACATGTTGCTTAGATGTCTGTTGTCAACCAAGTCAAAGCAATGTAGCATATGCTGCCAATTCTCCTCGAACTCATCCACCGTCTCTGAATCATTGATAACCCCATAGAAAACCTGCTCAAAAATTTCATCCATGCTCAGGATCCTACCCAACATTTCCCTTGCTTTTCGCTGGACGTGCCATTTGCAGCACCTATGCACTGTGTTTGGGAAGACATCTTTTATTGCTGTTTCCGTTTCCTTGTCCTGGTCAGTCATTAGGTGCAACGGGTGCTCATTATTCATTGCAATCATCCAATGTTGAAACACCCACTTGAAAGTTTCTATTTGTTCATTTGGCACCAAGGCACAACCTAGCAGCACCGTTTGCAAGTGGTTGTTCACACCAACAATAGGAGCGAAAGGCAGATTGTACTGATTTGTGCAAAATGTTGTGTCAAAGAACACACAATCTTTGTACTTTGGGTACAATGCTCTTGTCCTTCCATCCACCAAAAATAGAGCTGTCACTTCATTTGTTTCTTTGTCAACTTCTGTTGTGTAGTAAAATTGAGCATTCTCAGCTTGACGCCTCTTAAAGTAAGCAACTGTCATATCCATGTCCTGAAATGACTGATTTTGTCGCAGCTTGGAACGCACATTTGAAACATCCCTCTTCACACATGGCAGTTTCCTCCGGTCTCCGCCATGGACCATTCCAAGCATTCCCATGCAATTTGTAGTTGATAAGTTTACATCATGCATTGTCATCAGTAGTTGGTAATCTTCTTCTGGAATTTTGCGGTGTGAGCGGTAGAACCTCACAATCTCCTCATGCTGCATCAAAGGGTGTGTATGATGTGTAACAAGGTAGGTAACAACCCACTTATTGCCCCTGAGGCCAACAATCATATGAGCTTTGCAATCATAACGCATAATCCGATTCCTCTGACAATTGGCTGTCACATCCATTTCAACCCCAGCCTGCTTGCTTGATGAGCTTCCCCCTGCTGCAATTCCTTCCGAGTGGCTTCTTGTCTCACATGTAGTCTCCGGTTTGCCAGCATGCACACATTGGAAGACCCTCTTGATAAGTTGTTGTGGACCTTTCTTCTGGCTGTTTTTTGAGGAAGCTATGCGTGAGCCAAAGCCCGTTCCAAATGCGTAGTGATTATAGAACTTTTTGGCATCTTCAATTGAGTCAAATTCCATGCCAACATAGGGCAGAAGTGGCTGAGATGAAATATCATCATCCTCATCTGCATCATGCATTCCACCATGAGTGTTTAGGACACCATTTGAATCCCCACAACCATGACTTGTGAAAGGTTGCTGAACAAAACTCTCCTCATTTGCCGCCCCATCTTCGGTATGCTACATCATTGCAACAACAGTAGAACAACACCATCAGTAGTAGTGAAGAACAACACCAGTTTTTTCATTGCAGTATGCACAAGCTTTAAATAACATATCCTTTTACAGAGTTTTATGCTTGCTAAAATTGTAGAGGCCAACAACACTATAACATACCCAAGCCCTATAATCTACCAGTGCTTTTTGCTATTCAGCAAGCATTTTTTTTCATACAGCAGAATTTTTATCTTTGCACAAGTAATCTCTGAATATTAAAGAAATCAATATTTTTTCAGTGTGTGCTTACATCCCGTGAATCTTAAAGCAAGCAACATTTAGTGGTGTTGCATAGCTAACACACATTCAGTTAAGCTACACATCCTCTGAATCTGAAGCAATGCAACCTTCCATTACATAACTTTTTTTCCTTATTGAATTGAAATCAAAGCAACATCTAGTTTTGTTTCAAAGCAACATCACCTCAGCTGCACACTAGTTTGTGTTAAATGACAGTGAACAATGAGCAAAGCAACAAGGGCAAGCAACAAAGCCATTAGCATAGGAAATGTCAATGCAGCAGAGAAAGGGGAAGCTCATCCAATTTCAAGCGGATCCGGCAGGGGGTGCATGAGTGAAAACAATTGGAGGATCTCTGTACACGGGACCTTGTCTCCTGGGATCTAGGGTGGTCGCTGGAGCTGAAGTTGTCCGCCTGGGAACAGAGGAACCCTCACCAGAGTTCCAAGCCATGGCGGAGTAGGCCATGTCTCTGGCGATGTGGTGCACCATCGCGGGAGGTGGAGTAGGTGGAGGGGTGGAGGTGGAGAGAAGGGGCGGCGCTCGCGGGTCGTTGTAGTCTTCGGCGAGCTAAAATCGTAGGGCAGGTGGAGGTGGAGGAAGCCCCCGTGATTTGCGGCCACAGGTGGGGATCTGTTCGCATGTGGGGGCGTCTTGTTTCATTGCAATGCAGCAACCACTACGGGCCGACGGGCTTTGCAAGGGGGAAGCATGCACATACAGATCGGACGGACGCGGTGCTTTACATCGGACGACCGCGAAGGCGACTTACGAATCGCCTAGCATCGCCCAACCTACGCCTAGCACCGGCCATAGGGAATTCTGCTGACACAGTTCACAATCAAGATGCTCTCTATCAT